CATCTACTTCCATTCGAAGAGAATAATAAACAAGACAGTTTCTTTCAAGCTTGTTTTTTATTAATGAATCATAATTATAATTATTTAGCTTTCTTGCTCTTAATCTTCCTCATATAAAACTCAAGCTCCTTGCCCTCAAGAATATAACCGTCAGCTCTACCGCACTGTCCAGGCCTGCTTGCTATACAAGCTAAAAATGAGAAAATAAAATTATTAATTCTATTAAGTCACATTAAATTTAAAATATGTGTATGTAAAAAAGAATGAAGAATATTTTATTAAGAGTATTGATTTAAAAAGAGAGAGTAAAACATCTCTTTAACACTCATTTAAAAAGAAACATTAATTTATGCAAGTACATGTTAACAAATTAATTTTGTAAAAAATTTAAAGAATTAAAAATTTTCATACCAAGAACACGTCCCGTTGCAAATTGTTCTTCCAAAGCAGGTTCAACCTTGGCAAATCGTTGTCTTGCCTTGTATTTGGATTCTGCTTTTTTAGAACGTTTTTTATTCAACACTTCTTCTTCAGCTTCCGTCTAAAAAAACAATTGTGCTCCATATTTTATATATCATATACATATACATATAATATTCCATAAATTTAAATTATATTTAAAATTAAATTATATTTAAATACTCACAAGTTTAGCACCCCTCTTGCGACCCAGTGGCAATACATAATGACCTTCATACCACTGTCTGAAAGGCGTAGCATCGATGGTGACAATAGCGTTCTTCACCAAAGTTTTGGTTCGTACTAGTTCATTGTTTGATGCATTGTAAACAACATCAATAATACGAGTTTTTCTGGTGCTGCATTCAGAACCCCAGGAAAAGTTTCCAGCGTCCAATCTAAGTGCTCTGTATTTTTTATTGCCTCCACGTGTACGGACCTAGTATATACACACAATAAAATAGATATGTTTATAACTGATTTCAACACATTAAATATATGTATTTATATATATACGTATATATTAAATATACGTCAGATCGCTGTGAGATTATGAACAATCATGGCACTCAGAGTAGGTAAGGATCATCATTTTATAGTAAAGAATGAATTATTAAAATATTTTTTCATGAGTAATTGTAAAGCTCATTCTACAATGGGCAGTAGATTAAAGAGTAGGCATAGAAATCGACTAATCATAGTTGATTATCCTTTTCACATTCAACTATGATTGATAGATTTCTATATCTACTCCTTAATCCACTACTGCTATTCCACTGTAGAATGGGTTTAACAATAGATATAACATCACAATAACAATGGCTGCGTTCCATTTAACACTAATGGAATCATTTTATCCTTGTCATTTATCAAATGTTAAACAAGGACAAATGATGCATACTTACAAATCAATGACTAAACTATAATTTTGTTCACTATGACATTGATATTTATTGTATTAATGATATTGAGATTGATTGATATTGAGATACCTCCATTAATTAATGTTTTACTTCTATAATGTTTTACTTCTATAATTCCATCATAGTGAAAGTAAAGTTTGAGGAAATTAAGCTTACAGTATGAATTCGCTGTGGGCCAAGTTTGGTATTTGCAGCTGGACGTCCCAACTCAAATTTCCTCTTCTTGCGAATGGGCTTCCTCTTTCCACCAGTAGCTCTCCGCTTATGCCAGTGATCCCGAGAAATACCTATAATGCAATATTGAAAATAACTTAGTAAACTCTCGAGCTTCTTAACTTAAACTCATTAAAAAACCTATTTAAAAAAGAAAAGTTAACCTAACCAAACACTATATCACATTGTGCTATAAATTTTTTTCTGTACAGATTAGAAAAATTAATAAATGCATGGACAATCTACAATATTTACGTTTGTTTAAAACGTGGCTTTCGCTGTTAAAAAGAGAAAATATAAATCATGAAAGTGTCACGAGTTCAACATAGCTAAGCTCGACATCGACAAGCGTCGAGCCAGCTTCTACGAACTCAGGTCGAAAGAACGAAAATAATATTCCTTGCCGACAAAAGGACGATATCTGATTCACGTGCTGATTACGTTTCGTTGCGATATCGCGGAGAGAAAGTTCAGATTCGTTACGATGAAGATTAATTTCAATAAAATTATGTCACTTACCCATCTTGCTACGATGGAGAAAGAACTTCAACTATCGGTATACTAGAGAAACCACCTCCAATCATAAGACGAAACATGGCGGAATTAGAAAGTTTATATTCCCGAAGATGCGCAGTAACAAAATAATGATGTCCACGCATTTTGCCCTTAAATGCAACTCACATAGGATGCCTTCGGATTTATGTCCAAGTTTCTATTAATACGTGCTTGTTTTATACTTCGGTCTTAATCCTAAAATTCAGCCAATAGAGTTGCCAGTTTTAATTGGTCCTAACTGAAATCTGTATTCTATTTGCTGAATTTACATGAGATTGCGTTCGGATTCCCACCTCGGGTACTCTCCGGATGTCATATCCTTGTTATTTGCCGAATGTTAAACAAAGATGACAGATACTTGAGGAGTACCCAGGGAATCTGAATGCAGCCCTGGATTCGACTAGAGTTTTTATAAGGTGCAACCACAATAGAAGGAATAAAGAATAAAGATTTCAACCAGAAATCGGATATACCGGAATACACATTTCTAATAAGTTGATATCATTAATCCTTATTCCTTCTATTATGTGTCTGCATTAGAATTCTAGCTTTATAAGAGAAGCGCTACCGACTTATGTCAGTATCGCAAAAGTACTGGAAGAAATACTAATGGCGCCGTTTGCAAGACGGATGAAATCTATCAAATCATCCATTAGGCAGCCATCTTGCAGAAATAAGTTAATCATTGGCTGCAATCACATGATTGTAATGATGCTAATCAGAATACTTAGCACCAGTCGTGCTTCTCTTATAAATTAGGACTCTAAACAGAGTCTGAATGTATTCGCACGCATGTCCGTCATTAACAGTTAAAACCGGAAATGTATCGCCATGTTTACCGCGCAAATGATTATGCAAATCGCAACGATTACGCAATTAATGATTACTTACTATTATACGCGACGATAGAGTTGAATTCAATACTACATATATTTAAGACATTTCTTGAGCTTTTTCAGCAACTTACAATAGAAGATACCAATTTCTCGCAGTTTTCACAAAATATAATATACTTTCAGAAAAAGCAGCTTTGTAAGATTTTTTAATATGATTTTTACATTTAGGTCCAATAAGGAATTAAGGGCAAGATCAATTATATTTAAAAATTTTTAATTGAAAAGTTTTTTTCTATTAAACTCAAACATTTTGGGTTCACTCGAAAAAGACGCTGTTAGCGCTATTTGTATCATTCTATCTTCACAGTTTATCAAAACAAGGATAAAACGATATAAATAGCATTAACAGTGTCTCTCCAAACAGGCTCTCTATCAACAATCAATCAGAAATTTAATTTATTCTTCAATATTTCTCATAAATATTTTTCGATTTTGTATCCATCCATTGTATATTTATATATACAATGGATGAAATAAAGAGTTAAATAAAGTACAATATCAATGTAATACTTATATTTTCACATCACAATTATTGTAAAATATGATCAATAATAATACAAATTATTATTTATTTTCAAAATCTCGTACATATTTTTGAAATAATATTTTTGAATATATATTTTTGAATAATATGTGTAATTTCCTTCAAAATTCTTAGATTCTAATTTTAGATTTTAATCAGTCCGCCATTTAACAAGATATATCTTCCAGATGATCATGTTTTCTTACAATTAATGGACTCGCTCTATACATAAAATAATTTATATCATTATAGCAAAGTCTATTTATTACCAGATGGCAAATCTTCAGGGTTGTTTGTTCATCTTCAGAAACGATTCAAAGTTTCTTGCAAAAGATGCTTTCGAGATGTAATTTATGGATGATGTGACGCGATTTTCGCGAGAGGAAAAATACTGTGGACAGAGTCAATGTGACGCAGTAAATAAATTTTCTGCGTATAACTATGTCCGCAGATTGTGCAAATAAATTGCGGAGATACGCCGCATTCGTATTTGTGGCGTATCAGGTTGGCCTTGTGCATGAAGGTCTTAGAGCATTTGTCGCAAAGGTGCCGCTTGGTCATACCAATTCTACCTGAAATATAATGAAAGTAAATGAAGTTTTGACGAAATGAAATGAAAAAGGAAAGCATGCGTAATTTTTAAAAACACGGATAAATCTCTTCGAACCCGAAGCTCACGATAAAGTCACTATACATGTACAATGTAATTTACACGTATAATAATCATTATTTAAATTTAAGACTACATTTAAGATTACGTTTGTCAAAATGTTGTTCAATCGAATCTGGACTTTTATTTATAGATTACGAAAATTAACGATAATAAATAATATAAAAAATTATCACAAAAGATTGTAAAGTTTCGTTTAAAAATTAATTTTCAATGGAAGACAACGTGTATCTGCAACGAGCAAAGAAACGTTTTGTTGAGAAACGTGGAGGCAAACGATCATGGTGTCTCATTGAGATTGATTTATTACGGAGAATGGAAAGTTATTTTTTAAAAGTAACAAATTATAATTACTCGTTATTGAGTAAAAAAAAGTAACAAGTTATCATTTCCAGTTATTGATTTTTAAAAGTAACTCATTACACAGTTATCGTTACTTAAAAGATAACCTATTCATTACATTTACTTTTCCGTTTTTTAAAATCAGTCTAAGTGCTAAAACAAAAAAACCTAGTATAAAAAAAGAACCAACCAACAGTCGAACGTTTCCTTGTCGTTCGTTTCTCCATTTTATCTGCTTCTTCTTGTGCTAAATTAACATTAGTGTGTACCAGTTTGCAGTATCAAAAGCACGTTCGTTCGAGTTATCCTTTAGTTATGAGAGAATATTGTATTATATCTATTTTCTTATTTTTCAACTCTCGAATCCACTGTCTGCCTCTTATGGTCTCGATATCAATTCCGTTCTCAACGATTGATTGTCAATTCCTTAGTTGTTTTTTCAATTGAATAATCTTAATCTTACTTGACTCAATATGTTCACTGTGTATCTACTATATGTATACCTTTTCTAATCTGTTTCAACGAGAAATCTCGCCTTACGCTCTCAATTGTATTTGATGATCTATGCCATAGAATTGCCATAGAATTGCATAAAACAACATAGAATTTATAGTAACTAGAAGGGGAATAACCTATCCAACTAATGAGTGGAAAGTATGAACAAGACTAAGAAACAGAAGATGTATATTTCTGTCCTGCTCAGTAACTTTTCTTCTTTCTGCGCATGTGCCAAAAGAGGATCGAAAATGAAAGATATTTCTGTCCTTTATGGCTTCTGCATACTGGAAACGCTTGCCGCGCGACAAAATGTGATGCGGTAGCCAATAAACTTACAGCTCCTATGTTCATTGGTTACTGCGTCTCATTTTGCCGCGCGGCAAGCGTTTCTGTGTTCAGTATGAAGGAGTCATTAAATGTTGCTCACAGCTCAACGTCCGTATTCCACTTTCTTATGGGGAATACGGATGTCGAGCCGTGAGCAACATCTAAAGGACAGAAATATATACAGAAATATATCTTCTGTCTCTCAAATGTTGCTTACACTTTTCACTTACTGCTTAGATAGGTTTATTTCCAGTTACTGTTCTATGATTTATGCTTGAATCTCGAATTCATACACTTTAAGGCTATGTTCAAAAATTATGCTTAAATAACTCTAAGCTTACGTTATGTATATTATACAAAATTGCACTCTAGAACTCTTAGAATTATCTAGGCGTTCAATTCCTAAACGCAGCCCTGATAATTATTACGAGGGTCAATAATTAAATCGATAATTATTGGTTGCGATACTGACACTGACAGCATCGTAATCAATACGGTAACAAGATTTTAATCCAGCCAGCAGAAAAACAAACATCATATGCCGTCAATTTAAAGCGGAGAGTACAGACTCTTGCATAATACATAATACGTAATGCATAAAAAAATAAACCAATTAAAGTCTTCCATTTCCCTCCTTTCTATGAAATAAAGATTGGTTGAATTTCTTATGCTTTATGTGTTATGCGTTATGCAAGAGTCTGTGCTCCCCGCTTTAATATTTTATAAAAGTCTGTGCAGAGAAAAGGGAACAGAAATAAATTTCATTTCTGTTCCCTTCTTCATGCACATCATGTTTCGTGCCGCTCGGTCTATCTATACTGTCTATGGTTTTTGACTCTAGTATACACTATATAAGTAGCGTATTTCTATATAAGTTTATTGGATCTATGAATTTCTGAAGATCAAGTTAGTTGAGGTTATATTTGAAATGTCAGTTGCAGTCAAATGTTAGTTAAACATTGAAGTAACTCAATATGTCTTTGTACGACGATTTTGACAAGCATCGAACCACAGAAAAGGTTGCTGGATGGTCTTCCGGCATTAAATTATTGCAATCTCAGTTGCAGCTAAAAAAGGCTGCTACTACACAGGTAAATCTGTATCTTAATACATACTAAATAATACATACTAATACATACTAAATAATTACTTAAAAAATAATTTTTGATGTAATTTTCATTTGTTAAAAATAAGCTTCTAATTGCTATTTATAAATTCAGCCAAAACGTGAACAAAACAGGAAAGCTTCTGCGGTATTAGCACCAGTGATAGACTTAAAGTCGAAAGCTAATCGCGATGTTGACAGAGAGGATGACAATACTCATAACAATCCATTATCCAGTGGCAGCGTGAGCAACATAGGAGTAGGTGGCGAATTTGATTGGAATGTAGTGAATGAATATGATCCTATATGGCCTAACGAATATGAAAAAGTTGTGAAAGAATTACGTGACATCAGGGATAGGGAACATGATCAAGAGACAGAAATGCGCAAACGCCGGAGAGATAGTACTCGCTTTGAAGATACTCAGGTAATATATAATACAAAATTAGTTTAAAAAAAAAAGATAAAACAATGATGCCAAGTAAAAAAATATAATCCAAGAATTATATATAAAAAATATAATCCTATAATTTTTGTACCATAAAACCTAAGTATATATTTTTGTATTCCTATTGAAGGTTCTTAAAATTTTTCTTTTCCAATTCTAAGTCTTTAATTCTTTTTTCTTTCTTTTTCAAATTTCTTAAAAAAAGTTATATCACAGTCTATTCGAAAACATTTTGTCTTCCAATCAAAGTAGTAGTAGTAGTAGTAGTTATTTAATTCTCCTTCAAAACATTATTATAACACAAAATTGTGTTACCTTATTCAATTTAAATGTTACTACAAAAAATTAAAGAAGCAACAGTAAAATGAAAAAAATTCAATTTAAATAGAAAAATGTTTATGAGAAAACACTTGGTGTTGCTAGATTGAATAAGAAAAACTATGAAAACCATTTAAAAGTTATAATAATAATTAATAAAAATAAATAATAAAATATAATAGTAATTTAAAAATAATAATATAAACTTAATGTAAATGTAAACTTAATGTAAATGTTATAATTATACTAAATAAAAATAAAGTATTATAATAATATTAACATTTTATGTTTGTAAAGACTGCTGGTGGAAACAGTGCAATGATACCTCCCGAAAGAGATGAGGAGAGAACGCCAACTTCGAGAGCTATGGTAGGAGGCGCTGCTATAGCACCACCACCATCCTTACAAGAATCTGCAGAATTGCCACCTCCACCACCACGACAGCCAACTAATTTGGGCTACTCAACATCGTCTGTAGCAGCAAAAATAATGGCCAAGTATGGTTTTAAAGAGGGGCAGGGTCTTGGCAAGAAAGAACAAGGCATGTCAGTAGCATTGCAAGTGGAAAAAACCAGTAAACGTGGTGGTAGAATAGTCGGCGAAAAAGAACAACTAATGCCTCCACCACCACCTGTTACAGCTTCTCCACCACAGATGCAATTGCAGCTATCATCGCAACAGCCTCAGGAAGAACCTACCATTACCGAGATAATGAAATGTCCAAGCAAAGTCAGTACAATATAATATATATATGTTTACAATATTTATATATGTGTATATATATATATATATATATATATATA